CCTAAGAGTGACACTTAGGTTAATTTATTGATATAATCAGAGAGTGACACTTTGATTTTGCGATTGAAACGATTGAATATTGATTTGTTGAGTTAGGGTTTGTTGATTCTACTTGATTAGTTTATTAAACACCTTCTAGTCTAATTAGCGACTTTTAGAACCGAAAGGGGAGAAGTCGTAGACTTAGGCTCGCACGAGGTAGACGATTTCGTAACTGAATAGTCTATAAGTTTTGGGTTGAAATAAGCGCTTGCCGATGACCCGTCCCTTGTTACGAAAAGTTATTGGGATGGGATAATTGGCCTGTGTTATATGCTCGAGTTTGTTCATCTATGTTCAATCCCTTGTTACGAAGAGTTATTGGGAGCGAACCGCTAGATGTCTGAGCGAGAGTGTCAATCTAGAATAGAATGATTTATGTCCCGGCTTGCGAATAGAACTTGAATTAATTATCCCCGACTCCCTAGCTTCTCCATCATTGTTTCGTTAATATTTTTAGGTAGATTATTATTATTATTATTATTATTATTATTATTATTATCATTATTATTATTATTATTATTATTATTATTATTATGTTTCTTAGTTAATAACTCATCCAATCTGCTATCTAATTAGAGTGTTTAGGATTTATTTTCTTTTTATGTGCTGTCGATACCAAAGTTGAATTCCGAACCGCCTTCCTCGTCAGATCGACCCGGGGAGCGAATCTTTCGATTCGGTACTCGATAAAAATATAATTTGCTACATCAAATTTGGCGCCGTTGCCGGGGAAGGCAAGTAGGACATTTGGTTTTGGTATTGATTTTATTTTTCGTGTTTCTCTTATTTTCGTGATTTTCGTATTTTTGTTCTCTCTTTTGTGCATCCTTGATTTTCTTTTGCTCTTTTTGTTTTAGTTTTCTTTCTGTTTCTTTGTTCCTTCTTTTTCGTGGCTACGTGTGGTTGTTCTATTTTGGTGTGCAAGAGATATGAACTACAATTGTGTCTACCCACCACCGCATACCCAATCTTGGGTTAATGAGCCGAGCTATCACACCGGGTACTATAACCAGCCATATCCATATCCTTCCGAGCAGTACTGGGACCCCTTCCCGGTCGATCAACATTATGAATCCCACAAGTTTAACGAGAAGCTCGACCGGATTCTTGAATTCATAGAGTCCAAATCAGCTCGAGAAGAAGAGGCTACCTACAATGCCAAACTCGATCTCATCCTAGATCGATTGATGGCCCAAGAAAAACAAGAGGAGAAGATGGAGCTCAGATGTGCCCATTTGAGCGAGAAAGTGGAGAATCTAGCAAGGCGCATCGACTCTATCGAGTCCCAGACCGATGAGCCCAAGGTTGTGGACCCCCGACACCCTTGCACTTCGATGAGCTAGGGGATGACTCTTCGGGCTACAATGCCAAGCTTGACCTTATCCTCGATTGAATGATGGCCCGAGCAAACCGAGAAGGAGAGATTGAGCTCGGATGTGCTCGATTGAGCACACAAATGGAGAGCCTCACTGCACGTCTCGACTCTATTGAGGCACAAGTCGAAGAACCCCACTTTATGCTTGATATTCAAGCCCGTGTCTTGAAACAAATGTATGAGGCCGAAGAAGAAGATGATGAGCTTCAGCGAGAAATTGATGATATTTCAGAGGAGGAGATCCATGGGCTTGATTCTCAAGTCCCACCTCCCACCTCCGAGTTAGAGCACCCGTCTTCGAGGCCCGTACACTGTGTTACAAAGTTGGGAGGATTCGGTTCAACTTGCTCCACAGATGTGTTTATTATTCCAGAGGTTGATGACAGAGCTCGTGCGGGAAAAGCTCTACGTCGGTTACTGGGTATTGCTCGTGCCCGAGCCCACTTCAAGAAGAACATCGCCACCCGAATCCACTATGCCAGCCTTCTCGCCAAGCTTCCCATGCTACCACTTCTGGAAAACACAAAGGCATGGCACGATCGACACTTTTTTCTGGACCCTGGTTGAGTTATACACAGGTTTTGTCAAGCTAATGACGTTAAACGAGCGCTTCTTGGGAGGCAATCCAAGTGATTTACTGCTTTCTTAGATATTTTTCTTTTCGCTTTTTAGTTTTATCTTGGAACATTGGGAGTTTGGAGTTTCGTGATTTTCTTATTGGCAGGTATGAGTTCGCGAGGCTAAGCATAGGGGAGCGACTTGCACGTGAATGTTTGTTCTCCTCGAGGCGTTTTCGGTTTGCACACCCTTTTCTCTTTCTGTTTCTTTTAGTCTGTCTTTTCCTTGAGTCAGTTGTTTTAAGTTTTGGGTTGGATGCTAGTATTTGTCTATTGTATGATATTGCTAAGTCTTTGTATTGACTTCCCAGTTTGTGTTGAAGCAATGGGGTCATTGCCTCATTCTAAGTTGGGGGAGCTACTTGGACTTTGCATGCTTATGTGGTGGTCCGGTCTAGTATCTAGGTCTCTTGTGTGTCTTGTGAGTATGGATATTGGTGAATTTTAAGTTTTGTTGATAATTGTTGATGAAGTTGAGGAGATGTGATGTTGATCATGATGGCATATTTCGATGAACTTGATTGGTCGAGTTGATTTGGCATTATACACCTTGTGAGGTTTGAGCCTTGTTTTGTTTTTGTGAGATTTGGTCGGAATTTTGTTGATCAAAACTTGCTTTGAGTTTGTTTTGAAATAAATCGATTGAAGTTGTGGTTCGTGAAAATGATTGAGGCATTTCGTTGACATTGCTCGTTCTAGCCTTTATTGACCCTTAAAGTTATATTGTCATTAGTAGCCCGTTGAGCTTTTAGTCATGTTCTTTGTCAACTGTTTTATTCGAAATATTTGAGATTTGACAGAATATTGTATGATGATGACGGAGAGTCTATATATTTGAATGAGGTTGAACTTGGTTGAATTGCATTTGCAGTGCTTGACACAA